TTAGTTCTGTTTAGCTCAAACCAGGACAGTGAATCAAAACTTCACACTGAGTGTTAGAGAGTGATCCTCAATGACAGATAACGGGCAAACTGGAATAATGTGTGATTCTGGCACCACTCAGTGGGCGAGTTGTTTGCTGTGGAATTGGTAGTGATGCTCAGGTGTGGATCTCTGTTTTAATTCTCGCTGTGTAATTTCCTGTTGATTCCTGTCTGCGCTGAGATGTTCACATCTGTTGCTGATGCAGCGTGGTCTCTTTTTATCTTCTCAGGAGCCAGTTTTATCCAAAGAGCAGCCGGCATTTCAGTACAGCAGCCACGTCTCCCTGCAGGCGTCCAGCGGTCACATGTGGTAAGAAGCACTTGGTGCTGCAGTAGTGGCTTAGCTGTAGGAGCTGGGACACAGTTTGCAGTCTGGAGTTATGGCTGAAAGGTGGGGAAGTGAACTGGACAGGACATACTTGATGGTTAAAATCTCTATGAGCTCTACAGCAGTGTCCCCGTTAGCGATAAGAAGATCTGGTGATTCCCTGCACCAAGAGAGGTTCCAGGCTGATTTATTCTCCGACTGTGGTTTGTGCTAGGCTAGATTTGAAAAGTGGTTCCTGGTCTTGGTTTCAGGCCTTGGTGCAAGAGGCAAGGCTTGGTGCTGGTGTTTCCCCGGGCAGCAGGGTTGCGCACACTGATGTCCTCTTTGGAGAGGCCTGGGCTTTGATTCTGTCCCGAAGTGAAGCCGTGCAGTTCTGTGTCCACAAGGAACTGGCACCTGGGGTTATTCCCAGTTAAGGCCAGATAAAGCTCTCTGTAACTGGTGTTCAAGTCCTTTCTTCTGTAAGCGCAGGTAGGAAAGTGCTCAGCTGAGTCGTTCATTTCCTGTGCTGCGGGGTTAAAGCAGTTTCACTCCACATTTCAGCAGGGTCGGCACATTTAGTGTCACCTCTGAGTGGACAAGAAATGCACGGCCACCTCTTGCTGTCTGTGCCACAAGTCCTTCTGACTTGCGTTTTTAAAGTAAATCTGTCTGAGTTGAGCTGCCTTGGGACTGCCTTTGAGTTGAGAAAGCAAGGATACTCCCTTGTTTGTCCTGTTAAACATTCTGACTTGCCTGAATGCCTACCCTGGGGAGTAAAACCAGCTTGTCTAGTGGCTTTTCCCTCTCTGCATGCATCTTGAAGAAAAGTAGAGAAAGGTTCTGCAGCTCAGAAGATACTCAGCTTGACTTTGGTGTCCTTTCTGTCAGGAGAATCTGCTTGTTTATCTCCAGGATCCTCTTGTCCGTGTCGTGTTCTGTAGTTCAGGGCAGTAAACAAATTCCTTGTTAGTACAAGGACAGACAGAGGCAGTAATGAAATGGCTTTTCTGAAATGCAAAGCAGAAGCTATTCCAAATGTCAGCTGTGATGGGATGTCGTATTGTCGCAGACGTCTTAACCAACAGAGCTTCTGCCAAGAAATACAAACCTGAATTTACGTGTAATTGGTTTGTAAAAATAGCTCAGACGCATCTCTCCTGTGGGTGGGAGTTAGGTAAACACCACTGCTGCTGGAGTGCACTCACCTCCTGCAGGCTCCAATCACGACATCGTTATTTGGGAAGCGTGTGTTGGAGATGTGATGTAAACCGCCCAGGAGTTTTCCAGTCACTGAGTCATCTTGGCAGGCAGATGTCCTTGCTGTCGGACCCGCAGCAGACGCAGCCCCGCAATCCCTGCGCAGGATACGGAGGAGCTCACGTCTTGCCTTCTAGCTGACAATTCCTAGCTGTTTTTCTCCCCGGCTTCAGTGTGATCTCTGCCGTTATTTTGCAGGGGCACTTTTCGATTTGAGAGGCCCGATGGCTCCCACTTTGATGTCCGAATCCCACCCTTTTCTCTGGAAAGCAACAAAGACGAGAAGACCCCCCCCTCCGGCCTTCACTGGTAGAGCAGACCGAGTGCCGAGACCCACAGAGACCTGTGTGTGGTGTAGACCTTTGCCTCCCCATTACGCTGCAGCCAACAACACGGAGCTTTTAAACATTTTAAACCATTTTTGTTTTAACTGTTCTCTAACGGGGAGGCTTTTTGGAACTTTAATACTGGCTCTCTCAGGCTGCTTGTAAACGTAAGCTGTGTTCCAGTTAACCCTTTCCTCTGTGGCACCTGCTGGGGTTGGAGCTGGGGGACGTAGATCAGTGCTGCAGCAGAAGATGCCCCCTCGGCAGGCCTGGACCCTTTCCACTGTGTTGTGAATTCTCTGCGATGTGAGGTTTCTCTAATAAACTGGCCCTTCCAGTTGCAACCAGTCTTCCTTTATAAACCAAGGCCTAGGTTTTGCATCCAGCCTGCCCCGGCTTGTTGCTCCCCACCTTGTTCCTGTGCAAAGTGGAGTCAGCCCAGACCTTGTGCCGCTTCAGAAGGCAGCAGTGAGGATGTTTTATGGAGCAGAAATGTGAGCTCAGCCTTCCTGCAGCGCGGCTGCTTTCTGGGATGCAGCCAGCGTGTGGCAGAGCTCCGCTCCTCTTGGCACGGCTCGTCTGGGCTGCGCGCTGGAGCGATGCAAAGCCCGTTTTCTTGGAGGAAGGAGCACAGAGGGGGCGAGGCGCGTGGTCCTGAGCAGGCTGCCACAGTGCCTGGTGTGCGCTGAGCACCAGGCTGCACGTTGTGATGGCACAGGGATGCTGAGGGGGGACCCTCCCTCACTGCAGGGGTGAGGTCCCAGCCGCTGGAGGGTCCTTCCCTGCTCACACCACAGCTGTAGCCGTGTTTCCTTGGTAGTTCTGTTTCAAGCTGCTGTGCTTTCAGCCATGGTGAGGTGGTGCTTGGCTTTCTGCTCCTTGCTGAGCTTGGGGAGTTGGGATTTTTTGCTAGTGTGTATGGAGGGCCTTGCAGAACCACGCAGGTCAGCGAAATACCCCTAAGCTTATGATGTGTGGATTTGTGGAGGTTTTGTTTCTATATGCAGAGGCCCGGTCCACAGTGCGAATCAGGCTCTTTTTTACCAGCCAGAGCAGCTCTTGGCAGCTCTGAGGACTGCAGAGATCTGGAGAGACATCAGCCTCCATGGTGGGACCCTGACTTGCAGGGACAGAGGTAGCTGGCTTTGTGATAGGAACCCTAGGCAGAAAAAGGTTCAAACCTTGCTCCTTTCCTGGGTCTTGGTTAGAAGACAAGGTGTAACACTCGCAGGACTGCTGGTTTTCCCCGACGCAGAAGTATTCTCGTTCTCCCCTCTTCCCCCAGGTCCCTTCTGAGCAGCCCCTCTGCAAGGATGCTCTCCTGAGCATCCTCTTGGCTGATGGACAAACAGCCCTTGGAAGTGCCAGTGGGAGAGACTTGTGTGCTGTGCCACAGCCAGTGGATGCCTGTATAGAAAGATTTAAGCTCTGATGAAGCAGTAGTAATTACCTGTCACAGGTTTCTTTTGTGTCTCCTTCCTGTCAGGTAGGACATGCTGTCTGCACTGCTTTTAGGAAGGTTTAGGCAGCCAGCCTGCTTTTAGGGGTAGAAAAGGATCCGTAAGGAACAGCCCACAGCTGACAACCCCATGCTGCCTCTGTCAGGCTGATTTATTCGCAGGAGGAAAAGAGAGGGGTAATTCACATTCAGAGGAAGCAGGACCTGCAGGAACGTGCTCTTTTCTTTCCCTTCAGTTACCAACCTCGGCTTTACAGGCAGTTGCAACGCTGCTGTCACTGTGTAACCCTGCCGCTCGCCTGCCCGTGTTTCTGGGGTGCCGTGGACCTAACGTTCCCCGTAACAAGCAGAGTTATGTGCCTAAGTGATGGCATGGTCCTGGGTGCAGGGGCTCTGCTGGCGCCGGGCAGAGCAGCGTTTGCAGCGTGGTGTGTTTGGTGTGACAGGTACGGCTGAGGCCTCGGCCCCAGAACAGCGGTTCTTGGCTGGCTGATGATTGCCAAGAACCGAGGTGACCAAGCGGGGCCAGGACGAAGCGGCGTGGGCAGCGCATCTTTTCGCTTGCTCGGTCTGTGGAGCGGGACAGAGGCCTGGGTGCGAGGCCGAGGGGCTTTGGGCTCAGGGTGGGCCCTTTCCTTTAACTGCTGCTTCCCACAGGAGCGTTCCGGGAGCGCGGGCGGGGCCGCCTTC